TGAAGATTCTGACTTGTTTGTTGCATCTACTGCACCTGTGAGACTCCTGCAAAGTTAGCTGTAAATCCTTTTTGTGCAGGGTTAGTGAGGTTATCAGACACATAGTTGCCAGCATTGGCCTGAGCATAGTTAACTATATTACCAAATCCACCCTTCCTTTTAGACTCAAAGTCTTGTGGATACCCATTCAATTTGTAACAAGTCTCCCTAGTGTGGCCTTTGAAGTTGCAGTAGTCACAATGTAGGTTGTTTCTCTTGGATCTATAGCCAGAATTTGGGTGATTTCCTCCTCTAGATTGACCATAACTAGCTCATGCATTCCCTTTGCCACTAAACAAGGTAGTCATGTCATTTCCCACATAGCTGTGATTTTGTCCATGATTTCCTTTTGCATTCAGGTGAATTGAAGCTCCAATTGGTGTTCCCTTGTTGCTGAACAAGGTTGTACCTTCATTAACTTCAGAAACCTGAGAGGACTGGGACAATGCTCTTCTACTTTCTTCAAAGATAATCATTGAGTAAGCCTTGTTTATGGAAGGTCTAGGAGACATATTCAAGATCTGATTGCTTGATTGAGAGTATGTTTCATTTAGACCTATAAGACACTGTAACATCCTTTGGTACTCAAAGTGCTCAACATATTTCTTTGATTCATCACAGCCACACCCTGGGCAGGGCATAAGAGCATCAAGCTCTGCCCATAGTTCCTTCAATTTCGAAAAATAAGCAGACACAGAAGATAGTCCTTGGGCCAGATTTGTAATTTGTATGTGCAAATATAACACTCTAGAACCATTGACCTTATCAAATGTTTCTTTGAGATCCATCCACACTTTTGTGCACTTGAAGTATAGACCATGCCACTTAGCAATTTAGCACTCACAGAGTTCATAATCCATGATAGAACTATAGCATTACATTTTTCCCAAAGTTTATGAAGAAAAAGGAGGGAATTTTTCTTTCAGATATCTTCAATCTACAAACCCTAGCTTACTTTTGCCTAACAGACTAAGACGTATAGTACTACTCCACAAGGTGTAATTCTCAGGTCTTGTCAGCTTGACAGAGATGAGAGAACTACCTAGAGTGTCACTTGGTTGCAGAAACAGCGGATGATGCTGATCGATCACTGGTGCAATCACTGGTTCTGCAGCTACCTCTTCGTGAGTCGATCCATTATCTTCTCCAGTAATCGCCATTGTCAACAGAAATCTAGATTGCACAAATGTCAATTGCTCAAAATCAATCTAACCCTAATATTTGGGAATCGAAGCAATTGCTCATGCTCAAATGAGTAACTAGCAGAAACAATTAAGGAAGATGAATCTGGAGTTAGACTCGAATGATATAGATCATTAACTTAGGCTCTGATACCATGATGAGCTCTAGATTCATCTTCTGAGCTATGGCGATGAAGGTCAGAAAGAGGAAGAAACAGATGGGAGTAAAATGAGCAGTTATGCTCTGCTTTCACTTACTTAACTAATAAATGGAAGAGTACTGTATATTTATACTAATCCAACTACTTAACTTCCTAATTATTTCTAACTAACACTTATCATACCACTAACTTATTACATATAATTAGTTGTACACAACTGTCACTAATGCTTGATTCAACAGTGAGTTTGGTCTAAATTGAACAGGCCAAAAATGTTAAAAGTAAAAATATTAGCGAGTACAAGTTTATCCTCAAGATCTCTTCTATTCTAAAGACTGCTTGGTTGTAAAATTTATTTCTAAAATATTTTTTATTTGCATTCACGCCTTTTAAATGAGGATCATTTAACTTGTCCAATATTTATTGCGAGATCACTATGAGCAGATCAAATAAAGGTTGTGTAATCAAATAAAGGTTGTGTAATAGGTCATAACTCGACACTCTCGACTCAAAACTACTTATCAAACAATTTGTTCTTATAATTAGGGGTGGGTATCGGTCGGTTCGGTTCAGTTATGAATATTATCGGTTTAGCATATCGGTTATTGATTTATAAATTTGATAGAGCGATAACTGAACCGATAAGATATCGATTATCGGTTAATTGGTTATCGATCATTATCGGTTCGGTTATCAGTTTACCCGATAAGATAACTCAATCTAGAGTTAAGCAAAAAAGAGAATATAATTCACTGGAGTTAAGCAAAAATGAGAAGAATTTACATATAGTATACTACCCATTTCTGCGTTCTGTCGAGTGGCCACAACTGGAATAGTACTAATTCTTCAACAACAATTGTCCAAATACATTAATAATAATACAAAGTAGTAGCAATTTCACCTTAAAATTAACAAGCCCAATAGTACTAACAGTTCAAATTCAAGTTAACAAGACAACAACTACTCAATCCTTATAGGCTTCACCAAATAAATTGGATGTTGTTTGTCAAATGCCTAACCTAAAAAAGGAAACCATAGAGTAAAACCTTGATTTGTGCATGGGCAATACTAACACAGAAATAAAAAAAACACCTAAGGCAAGAAAATATTATCCTGTTGTCAAAGCTCAGCGTACTGTACACAAGAATAATGTTTAAAAATATATCTGAAACTGACGAAGATTGTCGACTGAGAATTGATAAGTGTGAAGAGAAACTGGTAGTAGGTATAGGCTACACAACATGAGCTCACAAAATTAAGAAACGAAAAAAAAAGAATCATTAACAGTCAAAAATACCAATATGAAGATGAATTTTGTTATAGAAATTAAAAGCCTAATGTATAAGAATAAAGACTTACGCTATGAGTAATTAGTAAGGTCTATGAAAAATTAATGAAGATGAAGAAACTGAAGAGTTCGACTGAGAAAGAATAGGAGAGAACGAACTGAAGCCCTAGCATATGTATATACTTAAGGGTAAAATCAAAATTTTATTAATTCTTATTGGGTTATTGGTTAGCCCATTAACAAAATTGGCAAACCGATGTCCGAACCGATAGCCCAATAGTGAAAAAATTCTAAACTATTACCGAACTGTTAATCCAATAACCTGATACCGATAACCTAATAAATAATTAACGGTTTGGGTTATTGATTTTAATTACCCGATATATGTCCAGCCCTACTTATAATTGGGTAAATTCTTTTGTCTGCCTATCCATTTAGTCTTATTTTATTTTCTCTTTTTATCAACTTTATTCTTATTTTTAGTTTTTAGTTTTATCTAGAAAATTCAGTAACCAACTGGAATACTATAGCTTTAGCCAGATCAGCTTTTTAAACAGTGTATTGTGCGTCAACCTATTGGTTAGTAGCTCGGGTGTGTTTAGTAGAGTCCGAAACTGAAATGATGCCTTTTTGGGCATAAGATACGTTTATACAGTTAAAGAAAAAGTTACATTTCTACCTAAAACACAGTATAATATTGCGTTTTACTTTAACGGAAAGTTAGCCGTTAAAGTAAAACGCAGTATTATACTGCGTTTTATTAAAACGCATTATAATACTGCATTTTACAACAATTTGGGCCTACCAAATAAGTGTTCTGCAGGACTGACATTTGTTTGTTAGTGTAAAATGTATTATAATACTACGTTTTAATTAAATATAGTATTATACTGCATTTTACACTAACTTTTGGGCCCACCAATAAGTGTTCTACGGATAACTGACATAACAATAATTCAAAACATAAAAATGTGGTACTATACTGCGTTTTACATAAAAATATTCTGCACCACAAACTAGGACTTGCCTTATTTAAAGACGTTAGAATTTTATGAAAATCCATTCAAAATTTTCCTTCAAACTTCTGTTCATACTTCTCTTCTTCTTATCAAGCATTTTTTTATAATGTCTGAAGAGCCAAAAATAAGGGTTTCATTATATTGGGGGAGTGAGGTTCTAATGGAGAATAACTCTGTGAGGTGTAGTTCACCTCCACAGTGTCATGTTAAATTGTTGCTTACAATGGAGTACGATAAATTGGTATCGTTGTTATGTAAAAAAAATTAGTGTGAGGAAACGTTCGGTGAACCTTAAAGTAACCGGTAGATTTCCATATTCTGTGACTCCGCAGGGGTTTGCTTATTATTCTGAGTTTAACATCGAAGATGATGATTGCTTATTATTCTGAGTTTAACATCGAAGATGATGAAACTCTTAGAGATTTTTTGCGGATTCCAGATGAATACAGGGAATTTATTGTAATAAAATTGTTGTAAATGTACGCCAAGGTTGAAGACGTTCCCAATAATAAGGGTATGCATAGAAGGGATAACCCCCAGTCATCGGGTGGTTATTCTAGAGCAGTTTTTGCCGGACAGATTCCTGATGAAAGAGCTTGCCTTGATTTAAACTTGTCACCACCGGCGAATAAGCAGCCACAAAATAATTTTTTGACTTTATATAATCCACAAGACGACTGGTAAACTTCAATTTTTCTACGTTTTAGCGATGTTTATTTTATGTTTGAATTGGATTTGTATTAATACTCATATTTTTCATAGGGGTTACCGTCCGGATATGAATTTTACGAGTTATGACCCCGCTCCTAGTTGGAATATGCGTAGTTCTGGCGTGTTGGACTACGGTGGTCCATTCGGGAGTCATCACCAACAAGAAAATATCCATCATGAAACGTCAACACAGTACGACTTGTAAGTAAAGTGATATAGCTATATGTAAGGTATTTATCTAGTTGAGTAGCTTATCATTTTGTTCTTTTTGTGCAGTGAAAACGAGCAACTTGATATTCCTGACCTCACACAGTTTCCCATAGACGACGTATTGACTCGTGATTTGGCAGATGCGCAGAGTCAGGAAGATGATAGTGATTAGACAACAACGCCGATGAGTCTAGAGATGACACACCCTTCCTCGATAAGGGTGATGACGAAGAGGAAGTGGATGCCGAACCTGAGCTGAAGAGGGAGCATACTCCTCCACCTCCCGTTAGACCAAGAGTGTACGAGTCCCACGTGCCGTTTCATGAGCGGAATATTCCCTACCTTGATAATCTGCCATATGCCGGACGTGGATGCCCTCACACGCTCTGTGTCATGATGATCCACCATATCGAGGCACATCATCAGGACGGAAGTGCTCCAAAGCAGTCGGTCGACCGAGCAATAATCGGGCAGATGAGCTAGCAACTCGTCGTTGTATGGCGTCCAAATGAACTATCAAATAATACTATAAAAGTGAGTATGCGCAACACAAGTGAATTTATAACAAGTAAGTTTAGGTACATATTTACCTATCCGGCCACCAGCATATCTAACACATCCCTGACAAGGGGGAGATTATGATGAGCATCACTTCCTCGGTAGTTCCCACGCTAGAGAACCCACCTCGTAGCTAGAGGGAGAAACAGAGGTTCTACACCCGACTCTAGTGGTGGTAGAGGTGGCTGCAACGGCAAGATCTGCTGCCATGCCCAAACCTAAGATAAAAGGTTGACGTAAAATTTAAGAGTCATTTTGACTATATAGAATTCGGAGTAATGAACAGAGTATTCAAAAATGTTGCCACCTGTAGAAGCGGCAGAAAACCACATATGTCCACCTGGGTGCCCATGCTCGCCTTGGCACATACTCCTGTACAGGTATGCTAGAACAGTTGCACCCCAGGTGTACTGGGGTAACTCATCTAGCTGTTGCAGATGATGCAGAAAGCACAGACTCACTAGATTTTCCGAAGTATTTGGGAACAATACACCCCCAAAAAGAAAGAACAACGCCAACCTCGTGTACCAGTCAATATGGATATCCTCTGTCTCGCCGGTAATGTCGGGGTGCAATACCTCCATATACTCTCTGATAGTCGTCACAGAAATGCGACTGCCCCCTCTAAGTGCAGCCTCACCCTGTGGTCTGAAACCAGTATACTGCCCTAGCAAATCTAAATAATGGGAACGCGTCATAGCTATCATATATTGGGGCAGTGCAACGGCCAGTCCATCTACACGCAGCCCATATAAAACCTGAATATCCTGAAGCATGATAGTGGCCTCTCTAGTGGGCAGGTGAAAAGTGTGTGTCTTCGGTCGCCACCGCTCTATCAACGTCGTGATGAGAGACCAGTCGAGCTTCATCCGCCCAATCTCATAAATCCTTAGGAAGCTCGTAGCACGCAGGGGATGGACTACGCGGGCATGGAAATCTCTCTCCCTCAAAAAGTTCCACAAGTCATCTGGTCTCCTAGCGCGGAGAGTCTGATCCAATAGATGTCCCTCCCATACATAGGCGGACCTATGGTCGTCCTGTATCACTAATATCTTATCTGCGGCTGGTCCAGGATGCACAGGCGACAAGTCCATGTCGTCTACTGTAATTTAAACAATATTAATTTTATAATTGGACAGAGTAATTATCTATGGGTTCCAGGCTCGATATTTGAGGCTCAGTAGCACCAACCTATCCTTAATTATTATGTGTATCAATTTCAATAAGTTTAAAATTTTGTTAGTTTAATAAATTAAATAATTAATTTTATAATTGCATAGAGTAATTATCTATGGCTTCCAGGCTCGATATTTGAGGCCCAGTAACACCAAGCTATCCTTAATTATTATGTGTGTCAATTTCAATAAGTTTAAAATTTTGTTAGTTTAATAAATTAAATAATTAATTATTTAATTGGACTTAGTAATTATCTATGGATTCCAGGCTCGATATTTGAGGCCCAGTAGCACCAAGCTATCTTTAATTATTATGTATGTCAATTTCAATAAGTACAAAATTTTGTTAATTTAATAAATTAAATAATTAATTATTTAATTGGACTGAGTAATTATCTATGGGTTCCAGGCTCAATATTTGAGGCCCAGTAGCACCAAGCTATTCTTAATTATTATGTGTGTCAATTTCAATAAGTTTAAAATTTTGTTAGTTTAATAAATTAAATAATTAATTATTTAATTGGACTGAGTAATTATCTATGGGTTCCAGGCTCAATATTTGAGGCCCAGTAGCACCAAGCTATTCTTAATTATTATGTGTGTCAATTTCAATAAGTTTAAAATTTTGTTAGTTTAATAAATTAAATAATTAATTATTTAATTGGACTGAGTAATTATCTATGGGTTCCAGGCTCAATATTTGAGGCCCAGTAGCACCAAGCTATTCTTAATTATTATGTGTGTCAATTTCAATAAGTTTAAAATTTTGTTAGTTTGATAAATTAAATAATTAATTTTATAATTGGATAGGGTAATTATCTATGGGTTCCAGGCTCGATATTTGAGGCTCAGTAGCACCAAGCTATCCTTAACTATTATGTATGTCACTTTCAATAAGTTTAAAATTTTGTTAGTTTAATAAATTAAATAATTAATTATTTAATTGGACTGAGTAATTATTTATGGGTTCCAGGCTCGATATTTAATTTGACAACATATATTAATTTGTTGGTTCTGTAAGTTTATTTTATAAATTAAATAATTAATTTTGTAAAGTGTAATTGGATAGAGTTTGTAGTTAGTACATACTTAAACTACAGAGA